AGTGATAATGGACAGACAACACCAAATAAGACTGACACACACAGAGCGCTTGCTAAATGACAGAAAAGCTGACGCCGGTTTCACCGCACGTGCTTTTATGCTTCCTGGTCGCTACGTCACCCCACCTGTGATGTCTCGCCCATCTATTGGACTGATTACACATGTGATTCAGAGCGTGGTCACGCTGGAGGCGTTCCCGTAGCGTTTCGACGCAGCTCGAGTTCCGAGGGAACTGTAGTATGCTGTTCTGAACATTGAGTCTCCTTATAAAGAAATATATTTTGATTAAGATGTGGAACCAATTTTGTGTGTGTGTGTGTGTGTGTGTGTATCTCTGTCTCAGGATAATGAAACTTTAACATCACGATTAGCACTCAGTTTAAATGGCATTTCATGGTTTTTTAAAGGAGGTCACGTTAGAAACCATAGCTAATCATGGATAATTGTTGGCTCAGTTCCATGAAACATTTAAAATGACCCAAGAAAATGAACAAGTGTGAGTGCTCTTTGATTACTCTTGATAAAATGTTAAATTAACATTTGAGGTTCCAGGTCTGCTCGCTGTAATACCACATCTGAATTTTCAGAAAACAAGCAGAACTGAAGGTGTTTAGGCAGTGACAGCTTGATATTTTAATTGCAAACATCTGATTTTGTAATCTTAATTTCTAATGCTGCTATCATATACTTCAGGAGTGAAAAAGGATGCATGATCAAAGTAATATGCACATTAAATGTCAAAGCCATATGCAATCATATTCATTATATACATACGGTCGCCGTGATTTTGCCAAGTAAGACGTGTTCCTGGATCAACATCTTCTGGTCCAAAAATATAGACTTAACCCAATCCCTACCCCTAAACTTAACCCTACCCATAATTTTTTCCTAAAAACAGTGTGAAATGATAGCTGATTAACAAGGGTGTAGAAGCACCTAATCCTGATTGTAAGCCTAAAACAGATATTTCCTGAAAAGTTGTCCCTCAATTCTGATTGGTTGATAGGAATGTTGTTCCAGGATCAACAAGGATGTTGATCCAGGAACATGTTGTACTTGGTGAAATCACGGTCACCATATACATACACTGTTTCTTTTTTGTAAACAAAAAAAAAGAACTGATAGAAATGTAAGAATTGTGATCTGAAGCAAAACAACTATGCGAATGTATATTTTGGAACATGGTTACTTATGGAAAATGTATATGCAAATATTACAACATCAGCAAAAGCAGCCTATATTTTGAAAGAATGTATGAATATGCAATTACTGGTTTAAAGACACCTCGATTTTCTGTCATTCGGAAACCTGGTATACTTTTTTCTCTGCTCGGCACTACAGCATCTAAGAGCGAAAACTCAAAGCCGTGAAAAAGTAAAACCCTGCAGGCAAAAGTTGAAACTTTGGAATAAAAAAAAAAAATCATTATGAAGGAACACTTCAAACATGGAAGAGAAGTGAGAGCACGGGTGAATTTGCTTTTACAGTGGGAATTAAGATCTAACTGGAAAAGCTTAAGAAATTCGTTTGTGGAATTGTATTGATTTTTTTTTTTTTCTCTCTCTGCACAGCTCAAGAATAGAAAAGTTGCTCCTTTTTTGAAAAGTTAGCTGAAGCTGTCTTTCAAAAATCTTCTGTTAACATTCTGCGGTTGTTCTCAACACTAGTGCCATGTGTCAAGCTTTAAAAAATAAAGAACATGTCAAATATATCACAAACGGTGAACATAACCTTAGTGAACTGCCATTGTGATTTGTCAAAGTTATACACTTCCAAAAAATCATGCTCATTTCAGAGGCTCGTACCTTAAAGAAGGACATGGTTGCTCCATCTTTGACTACGCCGTACTCTATTTTGGTCTGTTTGGCTAGGTCATCGGCTGAGTCCACGGGCGACTCCATCCTCTCTACAGTGAGGAAAGCGGCCAGATTCGCTGTGTAGGAGGAGATGATGATGAGGGTGAAGAACCACCAGATTCCTCCGATGATTCGAGTAGAGAGAGCTTTAGGCATCAGTTCTGAACCTGAACAGAAATTAAATGCATCAACTCATTACATAAGAATACATAATTTTAGTTTAAAATTTACATTTATTTAAGAAAAGAAAAGGAAAGTGTATAAGATTGTTGCTTGTCAGTGGTCCTGTGACATGCATTTTTTAAGTACATATATTCCATGTAGTTTCTAAGTACATATATTAAAAAAAAAAGTCTGTATGAATTATTTACACACACACAGTGATTTTTAATATATTACATATGATTTGTATATACTTAAAAAACAACGTTGTGAAAGTAAATACATTTTACATTGCTACAAAACATTTATATTTCAAAAAAATATTAATTTGAAATATTTCTTGAGCAACAAATCAGCATATTAGAATGATTTCTGAAGGATCACGTGACTGGAGTGATGATGCTGAAAATCCAGCTTTACATCACAACTACATTACACAGACAAGAATATTCAAACAGAAAACAACATTGTATATTATTTTTTAGAAAATATTATTGTATTTTGATCAAACAAATGCAGCCTTGTTGAGCATAAGAGACTTCTTTCGAAAACATTCAACAATCTTAAAGACTCCAAATTTTGAAAAGGTAGAGTGCATTAATTTAATTAAAAATGAATGAATGAATGAACACACTATATAAATAAAATATTTAGCAACATATAGTGTGTGCGTGTGTGTGTTATTATAATTTTTTTACACTTTTGATCCATTTTAAAACCACATGCAGCTCATCTCATATACACAAAGAGTCAAACCAAACAAACAGAGATGATGGATAAAACAGAGAGTTCCTTCAGGATGGGAGCCAGTGAACAGTGCAATGAAAAGTTAGAAAACTGCAAACCCCTGAATTTCTTTCACACACACACACACACACACACACACACACACGCACACTTTTACCTTCACCTTCATTCAGTTCTGGATTGGCTAAAATACAGTTGCTATTTTTTTTTA